TGAAAATTCAAACAAGATGGCTAAATTTAATATGTCTCGTTTTGCTGATCTATTACTATCCAGAATGTTTGAATTCCATGATGTGTCATTAGACTTAATTGCCTTACTTGTTGATTGTAGGATGATGATTGGAGCGACTCGTGTCAAGCATCCCAAGAAAAAGTTCTATGAGCGTGATAAAACAGAAAGTGAGCTTGCTACTTTGTCTTTCATTGAAGATTTGGATTCGAGGACGAATTCTTTTCAAGAATGGGAGAATAATAGGAACCAGTACACATGGAATCCAGAAAGGGTAAATAGTGGGCTCATCAAAAGGCCCATAACGACGACCTTAAAACATCATTGGTGGAAGAAACAACAAAGACCAATAATAAGTCCATTCGATAGAGGAAAATATTATAGTGGCCAATTTCAAGTGATATCATGGATCGAAGATAATGCTTACAAGATTCGAGGTCGAATCATTTTCAAGAAGGGGAGGATGATGCGGCCCAACGTATGAAGATCCATTAAGAATACTAATTGGGCCAATCACAAGGCCCAAGTCCAAACAATTAAGGCAACTCTTCAGTGGTGATGTTCAAAGATGGTGGAAATCCAAGTCAAGCCCATTTGCAAAATATGAAGAATAACTCAAGGCTTTTTTTATAATTGTTTAAGTGCTGATTTTGGTGATTAAATTAGGCCCAAATCAGCCCTATTATTTCTGGTCATCATTAATTTAAATTGTTTGGCATAAAAGAGAAAACACTAGTTGTATTTAGAAAGGATTCCTTAAATCCTTTTCTAAATAAAACTATATTTACTTGTTTTCTAGATTAGGTTTAGGACTCTTTTTCCCATTGTATTTAGATTACAATGCTGCCCTATACCTATAAATAGGGCACATCCATATCAGTTTTGAGGAGACTTCAATTCAATAAAATTCTTAAGTTTTTCTTTAAACTTGTGTAAGAAACCTTATGGCTAATTGTGGACTCAATTAGTGGCTAGTCGTGGACTCGAATCAATCTTACTTTCTTCAACCTTAGATTTAGGTTCGTGGACTCGTTCTTGAATCGAAGGAAACTAGATCCGACTCTAGTTGATTGAAGATTGCAACATCGAGGTACTTGAAGCTACATAGGATTCTTCCAAGTCTTTGAGGATTCGAGACAAAGGGTTTCTCGTGAGGTTTAATTAAGGTATTTTGATCCATCTCTATCTTTACCATTGAGAGCATTCTTGGGACAATATTCCATTTTTATTTGAACCTTGGACTAGGTTCATATCACAACTACTCCACGACCCGAGCTAACTCCCGATGCTCCTCCGGCTCCCGGGGGTGGCGGCAACGCTCTCTGACCGGCTAGCTGGGGACACTCCGCGACTTTGTGACCTCGATCTCCACATCGGAAACACCTGAGCACGTAGCCGTTGCAACCTTGACCCACATGCATCTTCCCACAACGCTGACAAGGAGATGCCTTGGCTTGGTTCCCGTGCTCCGTCTTGTTAGGTCCTTGAGATGAAGATGACACATTCTTGGCCTAGAAACTCGGTCTTGGCTTCTTAAAGGTAGAAGAACCTCCGCCTTCAGTCCTCTTATTAGCTTGCTCGTACAATCCTCTCTGAAGCTGTTGTACGCGATACAGATCAGCGGCACACACGTAAGCGTCCTTAAGAGAACTTGGCCTACTCACAGTCAAAACTTTTCGCGCCTCATAGTTCAAACCGGCCACGAATTTCTCGACTTTAGCGAGTTCTGTAGGCACAAACATCCTCGCAAAACGGGCTAACTCCAAGAACCTCTTGTGATATTCAACCACAGACATGGATCCTTGCTGCAGGTGGAGAAACTCTTCATACATGGCGGCACGCACATGTGCTGGGTAGAACCTCTCGCGCATTCTGTCCTTGAGGGCGGTCCAGACGAATTCGGGTTCTTCAAGAAAAGCCAGACCTTCATGGACCCACCACAAATCCGCTTCATGGCAAAAGTAGAACGTTGCCAGTTCTACTCTTCTCTCTTCGGGGCAGCCCACAACGGTGAAGATCTTGTCAAACACCCGTAGCCACTCTTCCAAGACTACCGGGTCTTTCTCGCCGGCGAAGGTTGGCGGCCGATGTCCCAAAACCAAACGACCTACATCACGGTGCCCAGCAGGGGGAGGAGGCGGCACAGCGTGATTGTTGTTCAACAAAGCTTCACTGAGCGTATGCATTGTCTGTGTCAACTGGTGGAGATTCTGAGCGAGCTGGTCTTTGGTCGGGGTCTCCGGGGTGCGTGCTCGAGGACGAGGAGGCATCGCAACTTCTACAACAACAGCACGGTTACTAAAAGATAGCAAACAAGCAAAGAACAGAAAACAACACACAGCTCACCGCGCAACCTAGAGTCCTAAGCCTAATACTAAGATTCTTAAGGTCGCTTAAGGGTCTCAAACCACACTTAGCCATTTAGAAAGTCAAGACTTAACTCACCCTAGGTTCAAACCTAGGCTCTGATACCAACTGTAACACCCCCCAAAACATGCTATATAAAAAGCCTTAACACATGCAGATAACACAACTAAAAACTAGCACAGCAGAAGATTAAAAGATAACTGGATAAACGTAAATCTCAGTCATGGGGTGATACGCCACGTTTACCAACAACGATAAACGCTACGGCAAAACTGCATGGTTCACAACTATCCCAAAACTCACATGTCTATAACTAAATCGGCTCACAGGCCGTAAGAAAACGAAAGGAGCTATACTATCGGCACTAGACATCGCGCTCGTTAGACATCACCTAAAAGAACACAACAAAAACCTGGAACGACGCTTGGTCAGCGAATAATGCTGGTAACCCACCAATACATGTTAAGTATCATACATAGATATGATATATATATATATATATATATATATATATATATATATATATATATATATATATATATACAAAATCATTTCGGAACGGAATACATATATATATAAGTCAAAACCAAGAGCAAACACCAACTCAAGACTCATTACTCTCAAGGATAACATGGGATCACATCCCAAGACCACAAAGGACAACAACAACTCAAGGATAAAGAAATGACAAATGGCAGCACATGCCTAGGCGCACACGCCTTTGTGACTACACAGTCACAAGAAGAGAACACACAACCACGGCTACACAAACCCTCGTGACATCACACATCACGAGTTGATATGCCTTCCTTATGCCCTGTTCCAACCTTATGGCTACCCCCAACCTTATATCTAGTTCCAACCTTTACCTCCAGGACCCCAGTACACCAAGTCCAACCTTATTCCCCCGGGAACCGTCGTTCCCCCTCCAACAGTCCTCCAACAAAACCACCGATTTCATTGTACACGAGGTACCGTACACACACATGGCAACACATGCCCTGGATAACACATGTTATCCCTGTAATAATCACGTGAACCTTACATAAAGGCCACAGCTCCATAATCACGTCACGGCCACCACGAGGACCGCTGCAATACCTTGGTGACTAGTGTCCCATACCACTAATCGTGCAATCCAGGTAAAGCCACACACGCATCACATCTCAACAAGAATCAATCAACGGATCACAACGAAGATATGAAACATACTCAATCAAGGAATGGGTCTCATCCCAACAACGATGAATAACACAAGTTATCATCAACCAAACGGAAGGTACAAACAACACTCAAGCTAGCATTTAAACACAAAACTAGCATGCTTATCAAACTGGTAAACCAAACGTAGTTTCGAAGAACACACAAGGCTCATCACGGTTCAACGAAACACGATGTTAAACACTAAGCATGATTCAAGACACCAAAGTCCTACATGGATACCTACCATATAGTTCTAGACATACGAAACATCAAGAAGACACTCAAAAAGTTCCACAAAAGAACATCGAGAAGTCAAAAGATCAAATACCGAGTCAAAAGAATCACGGGGATCAAATCCCCACCTTCACCATAACATGTACCTGCGGGTAAGCCCACGGGTAGGCCTCTACCCGCGGTTCCGCCCGCGGGTACAGGCCTCCTACCTTGTGTACCCCGCGGGTGGGCGGCGGGTGGGCCTCCTACCCGCCATTCCGCCTGCGGGTACAACTTGTACCACAACATCACACTTCGCGAAATTCATCTCCAAACACAAATTCAAGTCCAAAACATGCCAAATCTCACCCAATACAACAAAATGACTTGAATCAAAGGAAATGCCAAGAAATGGCACAAAAGAATCCTAAACACAAGCTCTAGATATGCATTTTCACAAGACAAATGCATAGACACTCACATTTCATAGCAAAACACATGTAGAATCTAAGAAATCACATATAGGTAAGCAAAATAGATTTTGTAGAGCATGGGTTACCTCTTGTAGACTAAAAGACTTCACTTTACACCTCAACAAGCTCCTCACAAGGCTCACTTTCCAAACCCACTTCAAGAACAAACCAAAAGATCATAAAGATCCTACCTTTAAGAAAAGACACCTAAGATGGAACCAAAAACACAAGATGGACTTAGATCTTACCCTCCTAGATGCCCAAATAGGTGAAAGGTTGAATCTTGGAAGCAACTCTTGAAGTCTTGGCAAGGTCTCAACTTGGCTTGGAGGAAAAGCTACTCACTTTTTTAGAGAGAAGGTAGAGCTAAACTTTTAGAAAGTGTAAGGGATTGAATGAAGATATCTACTAGGTTAGGTTACAATACTAACACTATGTGTAAGGTCAAGAATGCCCTTACTAACATTAGGAAATGTAAGGAACAAGGGAACTCTCTTCAAAGCTCAAGGTACAAGTTTGATTTTGGGATTGACTAGTCAAATACTAGTCCTCAAGTATTAAATTTCAGGATTTTAGGAATTAATTTCTCAATTGAAATAGGATTAATTACTCAATTAATCCATTAATTGAATTTGGATTTTGGGGTGTCACACTGGTGCTACATGTAGTTTCATCATTGATGAAGGGAGTTGTACCAATGTGGTCAGCGAGGATGTAGTGAATGCAATGAGAATACCAACAATCCAACATCCTCAACCATATAAGCTACAATGGCTTAATGATGATGGTGAACTCAAGGTAGACAAGCAAGCCCTCATTTCTATTTCCATTGGGAAATACCAAGATGATGTGTTGTGTGATATAATCCCAATGCATGCTTGTCACATCTTATTGGGTCGACCATGGAAATATGATCGAGACACCTTACACCATGGTAAGACAAACAAGTACACCATTCATAAGTGAGATAAGAAGTACACTTTGGTGCCACTAGCACCAAAGGAAGTGTACTACATCCAAGTGCAATCCAAAAAGTTGAGAGAAGAACTTGCCCAGAAGGCAAAAGAGGCCATGTCCATGAAGGAAACCACTAGTGGAAAACAAAAGGCCTTAGCTCAAGAGAAAAAGGAAAGGAAAGAAGGGATGAACAAGGACAGTATGCAATCATCTCATAACTTGCTCATGACAAAAGGAGAAGTGGAGAAAGCCTTAAGAGGGGAGAGGGAATTTTTTTACTTTACCCTATTGAGTTTTGTCTAAATGTTATTAAAAATGAAACTATCCCTTCTGATGTTTCTGTCCTGCTTTCTGAATTTGCAGATGTCTTTCTTGAAGAATTACCAAAGGGGTTACCTCCAATTCGTGGGATTGAACATCAAATTGATCTCATACCTAGAGCAAGTTTGCCTAATAGACCGGCCTATCTCACCAATCCCGATGAGGCTAAGGAGATTCAACGTCAAGTTGATGAGTTATTGCAAGCTGGATTCATCCAAGAAAGCCTAAGCCCATGTGCTGTGCTCGTAGTACTTGTACCAAAGAAAGATGGCACGTGGCGAATGTGTGTTGATTGTCACGCAATCAATAACGTCACGATTCGAGGACGAATCTTTTTCAAGAGGGGGAGGATGATGAGACCCAAAGACAACAAGCAAATGATCCCATCAAAGTCTCTAGTGGCCCGACAACAAGATCCAAGTAAAAAAAAAAAGATTCAAGAGGCTTTTAACACTTTTGTGCATGCAAATTGGAGTACAACAACTATTTATGAAGAAGGAGATCAATCTGGAGAAACAAATCTATTCAATTGCCTTCACATCAAGACTTTTGAAGAGAGCTACTATGTAACACCCCGTGTTACGACCCCTAAAACCGAATTAATTAATTAATTACTCACCGTAAAAAGGGAATTAAAATCCGTTAATTAACTAAAAGGGGGTCCACCATAGTCCATGGACCCTTATCCCTAAAACCAACTCCTTAGTCGTAAAAGGAATGGAAGTGGCAAGCCCATACCATTTAGACCCTAATTAGGACTCTTAGAAATATAAATAGGGACATAAGAGGCACCTAGAACTCACACCACAATAAACTCTCACCACACAAGAATTCCCAAGAATTCCCATAGGAGAAATCAAGAAAGAAGAAATCTTAAAGAAAGACCCTTCATAGCCAAGGAAATTAATTAAGGCTAAGAGGTAACCCATGTCTCAACAAAACCTATTTTCTTTGCTATAATCTCCTTCTTTGGCTTCCTCTATATACTTGTGTCTTGATGAATTCCTTTATGATGATCGTGATATAATCTTATTTCATTGATGTGATGATTTTATGTGTGATCTTGATGATCTTGATATTAAAAAGAGGTTCTTAATATTTATGTGATGATTCTTGATAAATCTTGATGTTTCCTGATGTTAGAGATAACATATGGTCTTGATAATTTGGATGGGAATTAGAGCCCTCGGTCGGATTGGTAATTTGTATTGTGACGTCCTTGATTTATATTTGGGTGGAAATTCGCATGTTCGGGTGTTGTTATGTTTAGAAGTCATGTTAGGATGTGTCCAATATGATTCTTGTTTTTTATCCGTTAATTGCCTATGTGGTGTCGTTATTTGCGTTTGAAAGCATCTAAGCATGGTTTCGGGTTCCACAAAGGATCCCGGGACGCGTATTTGATGAAAGAGTCAGTGGGGGGTAGGGGACCCGCTGCCCGAGAATCACCGCCAGGCAGCGGGCAGCCGGCGGGCAGGCGTCTGCCTGCTGGCCACCCGCTGCCAGGAGGATCGTCACCGGCGGGCAGCCGGCGGGTGACCCCCACCGACCGGCTACCCACTGGTCTGTTACCCACCCCGGGTCCTCGGCTTCCCCGTTTGATGTTCCCCATTCCCCGTGGTGTCCCAACGGACCCCGTTTGTCGTGCTTGAGTCTAGTTTGATGTTTCGAGTGCCATTCGTAGGATAAAAGAGTCTTAGGAATTGCATGCTAGTGAATCGGTAACCCGTTGGCCTAGGAGAAGAATGCATGAACCCCTTAGGACTACTCTTAGTATGTGAATGATCACACATAAGTTTATTTATACGTCTCCCCCTTCCCAATGTGCTATTATGTGCTACAATGTGTTATGTGATGCATGATTCCCCAATTTGGTTGCGATCAAATTAGGTGTTCCTGAGTTGCGGTTCAGAAGTTGGTTGCGGTCAAATTGGTTACTTATGAGCTACGGTTCATTCTCCTGGCTACGGTTAGTGATTTACTTCTTGGGCTACAACGCACGGGCCTCGTGTGCAGATGGTCCACCGACTGGACGTGCCAGCGGTGTGTAGGGCCACCAGCCTGAGGAAGGCCATAGCCCACCGAATGAGTGATCAGGCGCTGTGTAGGGCTATGGTCGGCTACGATCCACTGAATGAAGGGCCAGCGGTGTGTAGGGTCGTAGTCTCCGAGGATCTTCGCCCACTGATATGAACCTAGTCCAATGTTCAAAGAAAATAGAATATTGTCCCAAGAATGCTCTCAAAACTAAAGATAGAGATGGATCGGAATACCTCAATTAGAAGATCAATATCTCAATGACCGTAAGGAATTAGAAAGTGTATAATATATCAATAGAACGCCCCAGAAGATATCTAAAACATATCAAAATTTCAGATAAAACTAACCAGTGGATCTCGAGATATAGGTCATTCATTGAAACTAGTCACAGAACGCGGAAATCTGGACAGGGTGTGATTGTGACGTGATTGCGCGTAAATGCGCTTTGGATATAGGTAAGGGTGATATGGGGTTGTTTTGTAGACAGAATTTTGGGTAATATGGTGCTTAGGAGGTGTGAGGTCTCGTTGATATTGGATAGGAAAAAGGGAAAACTCTTTCGGGATTGTTTTTCAAGAAACTGGAGAACATGTATCAAGATTCAAGAACACAATCAAGAATACAAAGGAAATTTTTTTTTTTGGGATTTTTTAATGAATAAGACACGAAAAAAAAGTAGTATGTAAGATAAGAATGAGATAAACCTAGGCTCTGAATACCAAATTGATATGAACCTAGTCCAAGGTTCAAATAAAATGGAATATTGTCCCAAGAATGCTCTCAAAACTAAAGATAGAGATGGATCGAAATACCTTAAATCTCACGAGAAACCCTTTGTCTCGAATCCACAAAGACTTGGAAGAATCCCATTGTAGCTTCAAGTACCTCGATGATGCAATCTTCAATCAACTAGAGTCAGATCTAGTTTCCTTCGATTTAAGAACGAGTCCACGAACCTAAATCTAAGGTTGAAGAAAGTAAGATTGATTCGAGTCCACGAATCAATTTGCTAGTCGAGTCCACGACTAGCCACTAATTGAGTCCACAATTAGCCATAGGGTTTCTTACACAAGTGTGAAGAAAAACTTAAGAATTTTATTGAATTAAAGCCTGTGCCCTATTTATAGGTATAGGGCAGCATTGTAATCTAAATACAATGGGAAAAAGAGTCCTAATTTGGTTTAGGGGTCGTAACACGGGGTGTTACCCCCTTGGTCTTTCAGACCTTAGTAAAGGTAAAGATGACTTTTACCCATGAATTGTTGTTCAAGCTATCCCTAGCAAGACATTTCATTCATTCCTTACTCAAGCCTAAGAGTCAAACTGATGAGACCCAAAGACAACAAGCAAATGATCCCATCAAAGTCTCTAGTGGCCCGACAACAAGATCCAAGTCAAAAAAAGATTCAAGAGGCTTTTAACACTTTTGTGCAAGCAAATTGGAGTACTATAACTATTTATGAAGAAGGAGATCAATCTAAAGAAACAAATCTATTCAATTGCCTTCACATTAAGACTTTTGAAGAGAGCTACTAGCTTAAGGAGTGTGCTTCACCTACTAGCTTGATGAATCACCTACTTGTTTGTGCAACTTCATCACTACCTATCTGCTCACTCACCTCCTTGCTTGTCATCAACCAAGTAGCTCAAGCAAGCACCTCAAGCAACTAGCTTACTCAAGGAGACAAAGAATTAAATGCTTATGACAAACCCATGTGAAAGATAGCAAGCTTTGGAAGAAAATTCAGCCTACAAAAATCTGATTTCATACGCAAAAAGGGGGGAGGGGAGGTTTATTTTGTAACTTGTAATTTTTAATTATTTACTTCATAGTTAAGGGATGAAACCTAAAATATTTTACACATTTAAATCCCTGATTTTTCCCTATAAAAACCCCATCACCATTGGGTTCAAATCAGGTAATATTTTGGAATGAAATGAGATTTTCTCTCTTTTTCTTTGCATGAGAATTGCATTGAGTGTTTAGGTTGTTTGTGAGATGCATTCAATCTAAGTAAGCTAGTGAGAAGCTAGTTTACAAGCCGAGATGGCGTATCCCACTCTCTTGTTCTTTACATTCATACACATACCCGAAAATCCCAAAAAGGATAGAACTACTACTTATATTACATAGTTAAGTTTGTTCTTATTTCTTATCTCAAGTGCTAGATTCCTAAGTCTAGTTCTTAGCCTTGTTTAACCATCCAAGGGTTGAGAAGATCATTGGAAGTTTGGTGAGGCAATTGTAGAGTTCGGGATCTCAGAATCCAAGAGTCTACAAGGTAAGATCCTTTATAAGACACGAAAGGTTCTGGAGTGATTCCTTGGGTGTGCACTTGTTGCGAGAAGCAACCCGTGTACGCGTCACAAACACTCCATCATCTCTCTAAAAAGAACCTAGCTTATTCTTCAAGCAAAAAGGTGAACCTCCTAGCCTTGCAAGATCCCACTCCAAGATTCCTACTTTCTTCTTCCCAAGCGTAGGAAAGGGTAAGGTTCATAGCTTTTTAGTGTTTTTAGCCATCTTTTGGGTGTCTTTATCTAAGTTAGAATCTTTTTTGTGTTTTGGCTTGTGTAAGAAGTTGGTGAGGAAGAGGAGCTCTAAGAGAAGGATTAAGAGGGTGTAAAGGAGAAGTTGTTAACCTACAAAGGTAACTCATGCTATACAAAACCTATTTTTTTTTTTTACTTAAATGATAATTCTTGGCTTCTATTTGATGTTCTTGGTGTGATTTGTGAGATTTGATGCATGATCTTGTGATGATGCATGTTTAGAGCTTGTATTTAGGTTTCTTGAATGCCATTGCTTGGCTATTTCTTGGATTTAAGTCATATCTTTGTTGTGTGTGAGATTTTGGGTGTTTTGGACTTGAACTTGGCTTTGTTGATGAATTTCCCCGAAGGGAAAATATTGTACAGGAGGTGTACCCCGCGGGCGGAACGGCGGGCAATGGCCTACCCGCCGCTCCACCCGCGGGGAACATGGGTGATTAGGGCATGTACCCCGTGGGCAGGCCCACGAGTGGGGGCCTACCCGTGGCCCCACCCGCGGGGAACAAGTGTTGTGAGTGCGGGGATTTGTTCCCCATGATTCTTTTCTTTTTGGTATTGATGTTTTGACCTCCCGTTGTTGGATTATTGAGTTATTTGTGAGTCTTCTTGATGTTTCGTATGTCTAGAACGATGTGTTAGGAATCCATGTTAGGATTTGGTGTCCTGAGTCGTGCTAAGGGTCCAACTTTGTGATTCGTTGGGCTAATATGTGTCTTGAAGGTTAGTTGGAACCATTTTGGTTTACACATTTGATGAGCATGCTAGTTTGGTGTTATTATGCTAGTGTGTGCAGTTTGTTCCTTCTTGTTGGGGTTGCAACTCGCATTGTCAATCATTTTGATGTGGATTGTAGTCCTTGATTGTTGAGTGTTGTCTCATGACTTTATTGAAATCCTTTGATTGATTCTTATGTTGTATTCTTGTACAAGTCGTTGTACCCTTTGTTGATACTTGATTGGGGCTATTGATGAGCCTTAGTCTTCTTGATGACGCTGACTATGTGTGAATATGAATGAGATTGGTGGTTTTGTGACTTGAGCTTTGCTCACATGATCGGTGGTATGTTACTATGATTTGTACGGTATCGTCGTGTACTATGAGTTCGGCGGAAGTTTGGCGGGGGACGAAGGTCCCAGACCGGGAAAAGGTTGGACTCAGAAGTATAGGGTGGCACTCAGAGGTATAGGTTGGAACTGTGATAAGGCCGGGGGTAGCCATAAGGGTGGTACTAAGGGATAAGGTTGGAACATAAACTTGTCATTATGTGATTGATGTATTTCCTTGCATATGAGCATGTCTTTGATGAACTCTACCTTATGAATGGTAGGTTGCATCTAGAGTTTTGTTGTTCCTTGCTGTTTGTGATTTGTTGTCTTGTTGAGGTTGATGATCCTCGGTCTTTGTTGAGAGTGTGATGAGTCTTTGATGTTGATCTCCTTCTGGCTTTAAAATGACTATATACTATATTTCCTCAGTCTCAAACGCTTTTGATTATATCTATCTCTACACTATGCTATTTAACGCGTATTGATGGGTTACCAGCATTATTCGCTGACTCGGTGTTATCCCTATGTTTTACAGGTTTTGA